GGTACTAAAACTAATGTAAAAAATGTAGGGTCAGTTGATCTGGACAGTGGTTTGCATTTATCTAATGTCTTACATATCCTTGACTTTCACCACAATTTACTTTCTATTTCCAAATTAACAACCTCTAATAGTTGCTTTGTTACCTTTTATCCTAATTTTTGTTTAATTCAAGATCACTCCAATGGCAGGTTGAAGGGGATTGGTAAGCATAGTCAAGGTTGTATTACTTTGATCCAAATTTACAAATTTCTTCTTTTATGTCAAACATAGGGCTTATGAATAAAAATGTATGTGATATCTTACCTTCATCAAATGTTGTATCTCCTGTTTTGCAATCAAATAAAGTGCTTGTTTTTCCTGCAACTGCAACCTTTATGTCAAATTTTTTGAATCATGATTTTGCATTGTGGCACCAACGGCTAGGGCATGTGTCTTATCGCACTTTACCACTTATACACCCGAAATTGCATCAATCAAATTCATTAGATCATCCTTACTGTTCTGTTTGTCCATTGGCCAAGCAGACTAGAGTACCTTTCCCTCATAGTGAATCAAGATCTGCCCATATTTTTGACCTCCTGCACATGGATGTTTGGGGTCCATATAGGACACCTACCCATGGAAATGCTAGATACTTTCTTACCATAGTTGATGACCATTCTAGGGTCACATGGTTATTTCTTATGCAATTTAAATCTGACACTTTTTCCACAATCAAACAATTTCTTCAAATAGTTCACACACAATATCATTTACAACCAAAATGCATTAGGTCAGATAATGGCACAGAATTTTTTAACAAAAACCTTGATGATATGTTGCATAACAAAGGGATTATTCATCAAAGCTCTTGTGCCTACTCCCCTCAACAAAATGGCATTGTAGAGAGGAAACATAGACACATTTTAGAGGTTGCTAGGGCCTTAAAAATTCAGTCCCATGTTCCCCATCATTTTTGGGGCTACTGTGTACAAACTGCTGTTTACCTCATTAATAGAATCCCCACTTCTATTCTTAACGGATTGTCACCTTTTGAAAATTTTTTTGAAAAACCCCCTGCATTGCATCATTTGAAAGTATTTGGATCATTGACTTATGCAACCATCCTCTCTGCCAAAGATAAGCTGTCACCAAGGGCTATTCCTTCAGTTTTCTTGGGCTATTCTCTAACCAAAAAAGGCTACCTACTTTACAATTTGTCCACCCATTCTGTGACTGTCACTAGGGATGCTGTTTTCTATGAAAACATTTTCCCTTTTGCCTTATCCAAGCCTTCTCAACCTGTTTTTTCCCTTGATTCTGACTTTCTTGTTTCAGAATCAGATCTATCTTCTTCAGATAATGTTTTACCATCTGTCCAGGTTCCAGACTCTACTGATTCATCTTCCTTATCCTCTCTTCCTCACCAAGCTTTAGACTCTTCTCCTATTCCATCTAATATTTCTCCTCTTGTTTTGAGGAGATCCAACAGACATACTTGTCCCCCTATTTGGACACAAGACTTCATTTGTCCCACTATCCCTCATTCTTCTTCTTCAGCCAACCTTATTCAATACCCTATTTCCAATTTTTTTTCTTACTCCACTGTCTCACCCTCATATAAAGCCTTTCTCTCCAATCTTTCCCTAGTTGAACCCAACTCCTTTGCTCAAGCATTTAAAGATCCACATTGGATTGATGCTATGAACAAAGAAATCCAAGCTTTGGAACTTAATCACACCTGGTCCTTGACACCCTTACCTCCTGGAAAAGTTCCCATTGGTTGCAAATGGGTTTACAAACTGAAATATAAGGTAGATGGTACTCTTGACAGATACAAGGCACGTTTGGTAGTTAAAGGCTACACACAACAAGCGGATATTGATTATGCAGAAACTTTTTCCCCTGTAGTAAAGATGGTTACTGTTCGAACAATCTTGGCCTTGGCTTCTATGCACAATTGGCCTCTTTATCAACTAGATGTTGATAATGCTTTTTTACAAGGTGATTTACAAGAAGAAATTTATATGCGTCTTCCTCAAGGTTTTTCCAACCAAGGGGGGAAGGATCTTGTTTGCAGGTTGCACAAGTCTCTTTATGGCTTGAAACAAGCCTTTAGGGCCTGGAACTACAAACTCACTTCAGCTCTCTTAGATGGTGGGTTTCAACAATCGAAATCATGCTACTCTTTGTTTGTTAAGCACCAAAATTCTCACATGGTTCTCTTGTTAGTTTATGTAGATGACATTGTCATCACTGGTACTAGTTTGGACCTGATCCAGTAGACTAAGACCTTACTACATTCTCACTTTAAACTCAAGGACTTGGGGCTACTGAAATATTTCTTAGGATTGGAAGTTGCACGGTCCTCCAAGGGCATCAGTTTATGTCAACGAAAGTATGCCTTGGAGCTCATTTCAGATTCTGGTTTGGCAGCCTCTAAGCCTTCTACCATTCCTATGGAATCCAATTTGAAGCTCACTTCTAAAGACTATGACAACCAATTCTCTACTGGTCCTGATCCTCTCCTTCCAGACCCTTCAGTTTATCAGAGATTGGTTGGGAAATTGTTGTATTTGTGCATCACCAGACCTGATATCAGTTTCTCAGTCAACTTGTTGAGCCAATTCATGCATCAGCCTAAGCAATCCCATATGACTGCTGCTCTCAAAGTGGTGAAGTATGTGAAATCAGCTCCAAGTTTGGGTTTATTTTTCCCTGCCGTCAACTCTATGCTTTTGTCTGCCTACAGTGACTCTGACTGGGGTTCTTGCCTCATGACCAGGAAATCAGTTTCTGGTTACTGCATTTTCCTTGGCTCTTCCTTGGTTTCCTGGAAATCAAAACGACAAGCAACCATTTCTAAGTCCTCCTCTGAAGCTGAGTATAGAGCCATGGCCACTACAGTTTGTGAGATCATTTGGATAGTCCAGCTTCTTAAAGAACTTAATTTTTCTGACTTGGTTCCTGTTCCACTTCACTGTGATAATCAAGCAGCCACTTACATTGCTTCCAACCCCATGTTTCATGAGAGGACCAAACACATTGATATTGACTGCCACATAGTCAGAGAGCAGCTTAAGAATGGCCTCATTCGCACTGCCTATATCCCCACCTCTGAGCAGCCAGCAGACATCCTTACCAAAGCTCTTGGGACACATCCTCACCATCATTTGCTACACAAGTTGGGAGTGTTGGATCTCTATCACCCTCCAACTTGAGGGGGGTATTGGAAGTATTAACTGTTTAGTTTGTTAATCTGTTGTTTAACTGTTTCAGTTTGTTGTTAGTCTTGTTAATAGAATCAATTTAATCTGTTAGCAAAGTTGTTAGTCAATTATTTAACTTAATCATTTAGTTAACTCTAGTTAGTAGTTAACTATGGTTATCTTCTTGTATATAAAGAAACATTACTCATCAATATATTTCAGTGGATTATAACTTTTTCCAGATATGCTCTTCTTTCCCAGAAATGTTCTTCTCTGTCTCATTTCCACAAAAGTCAACATCTACTGAATGCTACATCAACAAGCAAGAAAGAAAATTGTCCAAGTTTAAGCATTTTAGGGTTTCACTTCTATGTTTAGCTATTAATGTTGTTGGGACAAACTTTTTATAAGGCAAAAGATATTGTTATATTTATTGGTGTTTAATTTTATTAATTAGACAAATGTGTCTTGCACTATTAGACTTATCAATAATGTACCAAACCCAGGTTTATATTGTAATTATCAACATTAATATATGATATTTAAAACATCATCAAAAAATTAGTTAAGATATTGGAGGCAATTGAAAAATATAGATGTTGAATATTGAACACTCAAAACGATACTGACACTTCATGTGGATGGTCTGCAAGATACGTAGCCGCCTACAATCTCGTCTTTGTCTTTTCATGAAGAGTAAATGACATGTTCCCACCCAAGGTTTGACGAAATCCCAAGTTAGTCCCACTGGTTTCATTTATTCCAGATTCCCACCCTTAAAGTGACGAAAAAACATTTGATGTAACAGTAAAGGGGTAAATTGGTCATTTTACATGGGTGGCGCACATTAGCAGACCACCGCCTCTAACAGTCCTTTGGCGCACATTAGCAGCCATCGTTCCCGACGTTTTTCGCTCTTTTTCGGCGATTCTTCCACCCAAAATCACCCTTGTCACCACCATTTGAACCCCCATCCTCCCCTCTACAAAACCATACCATTCACAACCCCTCATCACTCGCCGATCTCCGGCCACGACAACGAAAAATGGTCGATGAACACGAACTCTCGGCCGACGAATGACGACAAAACGGTTGTTGGGGACATAGGGGTTTTATAGATTTGGGGACGGTGGTTGCANTATTGGAAGTATTAAACTGATTAGTTTGTTAACCTGCTGTTTAACTACTTTTAGTTTGCTGTTAGTCTTGATTAATAGAATCAGTTTAGTTTGTTATTTAGTTTGTTAGCATAGTTGTTAGTCAGGTATTTAACTTAATCATTTAGTTAACTCTAGTTAGTAGTTAACCATGGTTATCTTCTTGTATATAAAGAAACAGTGATCATCAATATATGTAGGGACTGTAATTTTTCCAGATATCTTCTTCTCTTTCTCATTTCCACGAAAGTCAACAAAAACATTCCTGAAGAATTTGTCAGCAAATTTGAGTAAAAGGCATGCATGTAGTAATGGTAATTATTGGTTCCCCCAGTGATAATCTTAAATACGAAACAAATTTAATTAGACTTTCACATTGATATTTTATATGAGAGACTATTGACTGTATGAAGTACTCTGTTCTTGCCAAACACACTGGAAGATCATGCATTTTCATGTTAAAGCTATCGTCCTTCCCGACCCCAACGTCGCTTAATCTTAGAGTTTCTTTGAGACAAACATATGTCATATGCACTATTAACTTTAGGTGTAGTCAATTGTAGAAGAAAATCTAATTCCAATATTGGCCAATACGCAGGTAAACGAAAACGAAAATACATGCGTTAATTATACAGTCCAACTCTTTAAACGTACCTCAACTTGTTTTTCTGCCACCGCTAGATGCAATAGTGTTTCCATCATCATCCTCAGAATTCATAAACTCATGATCGTTTATTGCTTCCACCAAGAACTCCATTGCCTCCAGCTGGTCAAACCTCACGAAGGCTTGTAAAATTGTTTCACCTCGTTCCGTCAACATTCGAGCCGCATTAGGTCTCCCTTTAACCAACTCTTTTATGACACTAACACGACCCTTGATGGCTGCAATATGTATTGGGTTTTTTCCGTCACGATCACGAACAAAGCACATTTCAGGATTAACTGATACCAATATTTTAACTATATCTAAGTACCCTTTTGAAGTTGCTAAGTGAATTGGTGATGATTTACGGGAATCAAACACTCCGGCTAGCTCAGGCTTTCGACCAAGAATTTCCTGCACAAATTCTGCATGACCAAGCATGGAAGCTAGGTGCAAAGGTGTCTCTCCGTAACAGCTCACAGTAATTCTATCAAGAATTAGAGCATCCTCTTGAAGCAAGTTAAGCAACGAAATTATATTCCCCTCTATCGCTGCTTCATAGATTCTTCTTTCCATTTTTTGTGATAATGACTCACAAAATTAATTTCCCTTTTAGTGTTTTATCATACGTGTTGGAGTTGTCGACTACTTCAGCATTAATGGGTTACGCAGATGCATTCGGGGGTCTCACTGCTCAGTTAGCAGGTAGGGGTCATGAAGGTAGTGCCCTCGAGCCCGTAGGCAGTTTGGGCCTTTTCCATGAAGTGCCACCGAAAGATTTCTTTAAGTTATTAATTCTTTATTGGGTTTGGGCTTAGGAATAGGAATCCTTATAAAACTAGGTTTAATTTCTTAAACCTAGTAGATAAATATACTTTTCTCTTGTTATGAGTGCGATACCAATCATAGGGCAATTCATTCATTTTAAATGAGAGAGGTGAGATAGTATTGTAATAGTATTGACTCAGCTGGACGTAGCCAATATTGGGTGAACCAGGGTAAATTGAATGTATTATTTTCTCTGTTTACTGTCAGTGATTTGTTTTACTGTTATTTTGTTCTCGTATTTGTCTCTATTTTGTTCAATTGGTATCAAAGCTTTCAAGTTAGTTAGTTGTGATTTAGAGATGACTGGATCAAAGGTTGAAATTGAGAAGTTCGATGGCAAATGCTTCGAGCTTTGGAAACTGCGGATGGAAGATTTGCTCGTTGATAGGGATTTGTGGGGTGCAATTGTGAATGATAGGTTGAGAGTCGGGACAGTCGCTATTACAATGAGTGAAACGTTTGGAACTGCATCGTCAAGTACGCTTGGGTCTAAACCTGCAACAGCATCTAGAGGAGAATTATCAGCGATTGATCGTGCCGCACTTGTAGAATGGGACAAGATGGATCGAAAAGCCAGAGGTTTGATTCGCATTTGTCTTGAGGACTTCGTTCCAACGAATGTGATGGATCAGGATATGGCTAAGGGTTTATGGCAGATGCTGGAAAATATGTATCCGAGTAAGTCTTTAGTGAACATGTTGTTCCATCACAAGAAACTCTACAATCTCCGTATGCATGATGGGGATTCTTTTGCTGCACATTTGGATGATTTTAATACTCTAGTGAATCAACTATTGGCTGTGGATGTACAACTCACGGAAGGTGAGAAAGTGGTAACATTATTATTCTTGCTACCGGATACGTGGGACAACTTGATTGTTGCGATTGGTGGTGGAGGATCGACACAGATGTTGTGGGAAATTGTATGTTCTACATTGTTGGTAGAGATATGTGGCGAAGAGGTTCAGAGGGTTCATCTAGGGATGCTTTAACTGTTAGGGGGGATAAAACTTTGATAAGAATTCTAATAAGTCTGGCGACAGGGGAAAGTCGTGAGGTAGATCTAAGAGCAAGGATAAAGGTAAGATTAAATGTTAGAGATGTCAGGAATTTGAGCATTCCAAGAAAGATTGCAAAAACCTCATATAAACGAGAATCAGATGGTGATATGTATGTGGTTGCTGCGTGTATGGCTGGATCAGACCAATCAATTTGGTATGTTGATACTGGTGCGTAATTCCATATGACGCTTTATGAGGAATGGTTCTATGAGTATGAGGTATATAATGGAGGAAACGTTCTGTTAGGAGATGATATTGCTGTGAAGATTGTTGGCCATGGGAAAATCAGGCTGAGGTTGCATGATGGGTTAGTGAGGATGCTCTCTAAAGTGATGCACATCATTGGTATGAGTAGAAATCTGCCCTCTGTTGGAACAATGGCTGACGTGGGTATAGTATTTAATTGTGATAGAACATCCTGCAAAATGACTCAGGAATCTATGGTTATTGCACGAGGAGTTTGACATGGTACACTTTATAGACTACAGGCATCAATTGTAGGAAACTCCTTTTTGGGTGGTTATGTGTTGAAAAAAGAGGCTGAAAAAGAAATTGATTATGCAACATTGTGGCATCAGCGAATGGGGCACATTGTGGAGATGGCTTTGTCTACTTTGGTGACTTAGAAAATGGCTGAAAGAATTCCTAATTGCTCCATGAGGTTCGGGTTTTGTGAGGATTGTTTATAAGGCTAGCAAAACCGGGTTAGTTTTCAGTCGATAGGCACGAAAGCAACAGAATTTCTAGGGTTAATTCATAGTGATGTCTTCGGGCCTACTGCAGTGGAATCTATTGGTAAGTCTAGGTATTACATATCTTTCATTGATGATTTTTCTAGATATTGTTGGGTTTATTTCATGCGCAACAAGTCTGAAGCTTTTAAGAAATTTCAAGAATTTAAAGCTTTAGTTAAGAATCAGTTTGACAGAAAGATTAAAGCTTTGCAAACTAATAATGGCGGTGAGTTTTGCTATGGTAAGTTTGAGTAGTTTTGTGCGACATGGAATTGCAAGGCAAAAAACTACACCTTACACACATCAGCAGAATGGGGTGGTTGAACACCTCAATCGGTCACTGTTAGAGAAGGCTAGGTGTATGCTAAATACAACGGATTTGGGGTCTGAATTTTGGGCTAAAGCAACTGCAATGGCTTGTTATTTGAAGAACCAATCTCCTACTTCTTCTATTAAAGACATGACGCCATATGAAGCTTTGTATGATAAGAAACCTAATATGTCCTTTATTCGGGTTTTTGGTTGTGATGCGTATGTGCATGTGCCAAAGGAGAAGAGAAGCAAGCTTGATAGTAAATCTGAGAAATGCAAGTTTGTTGGGTTTAAGGATGGCATCAAGGGGTACAAGTTATGGAATCTTGTAAGTAGAAGCATTATCTACAGCAGAGATGTAATCTTTAGAGAGGTAAAACAACATGTGGGAGCTCTTGAAGATATTGAACAATCAAAGAAATTTCAGTTTGATGTGACTACAATAGAGCAAGAGAAGGAGGAAATTCTAATGTTGTTGTAGAGATCGATAACTTAGAGTCTGATCATGAAGATCAATTTGATAGTATGGATGATAAGGGACTTGTGGATGGTTCAGAGGATGATTTTGATGATGAAGTTGTGGGATCGCCAACTTTGACAATATCTACAGGACCAATTCGTTTCTCTCTAAGTGTCTTGAGTGGATTACATGCTTTGAATATGACTGGTGATGAACCTAGGAATGTAAATGAAGCAAGAGCCATGGAAGATGCAAATATGTGGGAGGTTACGATGAATGAGGAGATGCAGTCACTGTACAAGAATAGTACATGGGTCCTATGTAAATTTCCTAAGGATAGAAAGGCAATTGGTTGCAAGTGGCTGTTCAAAAGAAAGCTGCAGGCAGATGGAATAATTGCAAAGTATAAGGTGAGGCTCGTTGCAAAGGGATTCTTATAGATTGAGGGTGTTGATTATGGTGAGATTTTCTCACCTGTGGCCAAGTTAATATCAATCAGGTATGTTCTATCTATTGCTGCTGCATATAATCTTGAAATTGAGCAACTTGATGTAAAGGCGGCATTCTTACATGAAGATTTAGAGGAGGAAATTTACATGAGGCAACCTAAAGGGTATGTATGTAAAGGGAAGGAAGACTTGGTGTGTAGGTTAAGGAAGTTTCAATATGGGCTTAAATAATCACCAAGGATGTGGTACCAAAAGTTCGACTCTTATGTTCTTCAACATGGTTTTAGTCGCAGCAACGTGGATCACTGTGTGTATGTAAAAAGGTTAGAAAATGTCTTTGTCATTTTAACTTTATATGTAGATGATATGTCACTGAAAGGGAATAGCAAGGAGTTGATAAATTATGTGAAGGGTTTGTTGGCGACACAATTTGACATGAAGGATCTTAGAGCTGCAAATTTTATTTTGGAGATGCAAATTACAAGAGATCGTCAAAGTTGTAAATTGTGGTTAGGGCAGAGAAAGTACATTGAGGAGGTGTTGAAGAAATTTAACATGGTAGACTGCAAACCTGTGAAGACTCCTATGACTTTGGGAGGGAAATTGTCTACTAATTAGTGTCCTAAGTTTGAGGAAGATGTTGAAGAAATGACATGTGTTGTATGCTAGTGCTGTAAGTAGTTTGATATATGTCATGGTGTGCACGCGACCTAATATCGCACAAGCTGTGGGAATTTTAAGTCGCTTTATGTCTAATTCTGGCAAGGGGCATTGGAGTGCTACAAAGAGGGTTTTTAGATATATGTGTGGGACCTCTGATTTAGCAATATGTTATGGGGGCATGGCGACTGGGGATAAGCGAGATGTGATAGGATTTGTGGATGCTGATTAGGGAGGTGATCTCGAGAGTAGGCGTTTTATAAGTGGGTATGTATTCTTTTTATTTGGTGCTACTATTTGTTGGATGAGTAAAAGGCAAAGTATTGTGACTTTGTCGTCAATTGAGGCAGAATACATGGCATTGACACATGCTGGCAAGGAAGTTATGTGGCTTTGAAGATTGAGTTTCAAGCTTGATGTTGTGAAGATAGGGTGTGACAACCAAGGGGTTATTTACTTAGCCAAGAATCCAGCCTTTCATTCACGGTCAAAACACATTGACATACAATACCATTTCACGAGGGAAATGGTGGAGAAAAAATTGGTGTTGTTAGAGAAGGTTGATACACTTGTTAATGCTATAGATTTTCTTACCAAGGTTAATGCAAAGTTTACATGGTGTATTGATGAGGTATGCCTTCATTGCGTGAAGTATTTGCCAAGTGGGAGATTATTGGAGTTGTCGACTACTTTAGCATTAATGGACACATTCGGGGGTCCCGTTGCTTGATCAGCGGGCGGCAGCCCCGTTCCTTGATGAGCAGGCAAGGATCATGGATGCAGAGCCCCCAAGCCCGTAGATGGTTTGGGCCTTTTCCAGGAAGGGCTGCTGAATGATTTCTTTAAGTTATTAATTCCTTATTGGGTTTGGGCTTGGGAATAAGAATCCTTGTAAAACTAGGTTTAGTCTCTTAAACCTAATATAAACATATTTTTCTCTTGTTATGAGTGTGATAGCAATTATAGGGCAATCCATTCATTGTAAACGACAGAGATGAGGCAATATTACAATAATATTGACTCAGTTGGACGTAAGATATATTGGGTGAACCATGCATGGTAAATCGCGCAT